GTTCGGCATCTGCAGATCCAACAACCGCGGATAGTGTAAAGGATGTGGAACCCGCGGATGTGACGGGCTGCCTGTGTTTAAATGACAGACTTTTAAAAATGTCGCATGCTTGGAAACGTAGTCCTGCCACATCACCTGCATTCAAATAGTCCTTGCATTTCCTCTAGCACCCGACCCTCTGAAAAAATAAAACATGGACAAATGTTCGCTCTGAGCTGCTCTCAGAAATGTGGAGCATATGCTAAATAAAGCCTGCGTGTTCTAGCATGAAACTGGCACAGAAGCGTGAAGGTTCCTTCTTTGATTCATCTCATTGCCCGGAACCCTAGGCCATTCTGTAGTCTGTGGGGAAAATCCTACGTGTCTTTCACAGCCCTACTTAAGTGAAAACCCAGGCGCCAAACACGTCTGGCCGTGTTCGCTTGTCCCAGTAGGAGCGCTCCCACAGTTCCGTGTGTTCTCCTCTGTAAGGGAATTTCTCTTTTCCTGTTTCCCCTTTCCTTCTGTTCTTTTCCTGTCTGTCCTCCTCTTGCCTGTGAGGTGCCCCTTCACTACACAGCATCCTGATTGCTTGCTACATACGGCTCAGGTCTCAGGTACCACATGGTGCTTACACACTTATCAAGAATGTTTTGGCACCTGCTGTATGCAGGCGCAACCTTTGCATTCCCAGGAGGATACCCAGGTCTGAGACGAGGTCCGCTTACCGGCTTTTCAGATTTGAAAATTTAGTGCTCCAGGAAAAAGCAGTTTAGGAGCTAAAAAATCATAGGCATTTTAAGGAAATATCAAAAAAAGGACACAGCACTATTTTCAGTACCTTGTTAGATACAAGGCCATTCTGTCACTGTAAGAAAAACATGTACTAGATTTAACTTGATTTCTCAGTATGTTTGGCATATTTGAGATATCAAATTAAAAAAATGGAAATTTTTCATTTTCTGCAGTGTGTGAGGGAACAGGGGTGGAGTGAGTTGAGGAGAGGGCCGTATTTTTGGGAAATTTTTAATAAAATTTCTGGCTTTTTTCCCACCTATGGCAAAGATCTAGGACACAAAAGCATTAAATGTTAATACTGATTCAAAATTAAATCTCCAAAACCTTGCTGAGAGAAATGAAAGGTCTAAATAACTGGAGAGAGAGAGACCATGTTCATGGATTCAAAGACTCCGTATTGCTACGTTGTTGGTTCTCAGTGAATTGATATATAGATTTGACACAGTCCTGATCAAAATTTGTCAGAATTTACAGACTGACTCTGAAACTCGTATGGAAATAGAACAACTCTGCTGAAGAAGAACAGAGATGGGGAACCCACACCACCCGGTCACGGCGGTTGTCATAAAACCATAGTACATCAAGACAGTGTGGTAGTAGCATTAGATCGCCAAGTGGACCAATGGGTCAGGGAGAACGTCCAGAAGGAAACTCACACGTAGGTGGCCACTGACTTTTGACAAGAGTACAAAGGCTGTTCTGTAGTTCTGCGACAATTAGATACAGTTGGAACAATTGGATATCCACATGCAAAAAAAGAAAAAGAAGAATTTCAGTCCCTCACATCACATACACAAAATTAACTCAAAATAGATCATAATTAAATATAAGACCTAAATCCATGATAACTTGTAGAAAGGAGGAGAAAACTGCGGGTTAGGCAACAATATCTCAGCTATGACACCAACAGCATTCTTCATGAAGGACAAATGCATGCACTGGACTTCGTCAACGTTAAAACTGTCCGTCCTTCCAAAGATGAGCTATCTCTCCCAAGAGGGAGGAGATAGAGATATACATAGAGCTGATTCACTTCGCTGTACAGCAGAAATCAACACAACATTGTAAAGTAACTATACCCCAATTAAGAAAAGAAAGAAAAGAAGAGATGAGCCACAGACAAGGAGAAATTATTTATGTCACATATCTAAGAAAAGGACTTGTATGCAGACTATATAAATACCTCTCAAAACACAATAGGAAAGAAATAAGCAATTTTAAAAGTAGGCAAAAGATTGGAACAAATACTTCACCAAAGAAGCAATGCCATATGGCTTATAAGCACATGAAAAGATACTCAACATAATCAGTCATTAGAAAAATGCAAATTAAAACCACAGTGACATACTACTAATACCTATTAGAATGGCTAAAATGAAACACCAACCACACCAAGTCTCATTGAGGATGTGGAATGATTGGAACTGCTGGCGGGATTGTAAAACGGCGCAACCACTTTGGAAAGTAATTTGGCATTTTCTTAAAAAGTTAAATGTACACGTACCGTGTGATCTAGGCGTTCCACTCTTAGGTATTTATCCAAATATAATGAAGTCTGCAGAGACTCATACACCGATGTTCATAAGAGCTTCATCTGTAATATCCAGAGGCTTGAAAACACCCAAAAGTCCATCAACAGGTAAATTTAAAAAAACAAAACAAACCTGTGGCACACCCATACATCCACACGGTAGAATACTGCTCAGCAAGGTGAAGGACTGAGCTGTTGATACACGTCGTAGCCTGGCTGAACCTCCATATCCTTATTCTAAGTGAAAAGCCCAATTAAAAAAAAAACAGTATATACCATATGCTTCCATTCATATAAAATTCTGTGGAGATCAGCGGTTGCCTGGGGTTAGGGGATGTGGAGAGCGTAAAGAGGGATGGCTTTAAAAAACAGCACGAGGGGGCTTCCCTGGTGGCGCAGTGGTTGAGAGTCTGCCTGCCGATGCAGGGGACACGGGTTCGTGCCCCGGTCCGGGAAGATCCCACATGCTGCAGAGCGGCTGGGCCCGTGAGCCATGGCCGCTGAGCCTGCGCGTCCGGAGCCTGTGCTCCACAACGGGAGAGGCCACAACAGTGAGAGGCCCGCATACCACAAAAAAAAAACAGTACAAGGAAACTTGGGGGTGATGGATATGTTTATTATCTTCATTTTGGCCATGTGTTCATGGCCATTTACATAGGTCAAAGTGTATCAAATTTTACTCTTCAAAACATGCATTTTATCCTTTCAGGGGTCCCTAAGCCTGCCCACATGCTTGGGGATTTACTGGGACCCCTAGCACCCAGCATGTATTGTACTTGTGGATAAGACGTGTCACCGGGACGCAGTAGGATCCGTAGGCACATCAGTGACGGAAAGACGTGAGGAAGGTCTGGAGGAATCCGTGTGCCACTTCCTGTGCCCTCTGCCCCCCATGAGGGACCGCAGAGCACACCTTCCCTCCAGCAGCAAAGCTGTAACTATGGAGGTACAGTGGTTATGCACACTGAAACCCATTTCAGGTTCAGGGTTTTGACTGGGGGCTGGTCACATAGGCACCTCTGCCCACCAGTATCTCAGATGCCCGAAAAGAAAACGTGTTCAGTGGCCCAGGCGGGCAAAACAACCTTATCAGCGTAGGATTGCTTCAAAAGCCAGATTCCCAGGTGCCGGCCAAGGGCCAGCTCATAAGCAGGCTTTTCTGAAAATCATAGTCTCAGGACTGTTAATTCTTTTCTGTAGTCAGTTATACCTCAGTAGCACTCTTTTTTTTTTCAGTAGCACTTTTTTTAAAAAAAATTAAGTTAGTATGAACGAGTACAAGGCAGTGGTGATTAATTTACTGAAAAAGTGATAGACTATAAAAAGCAGTCACGTCAGATTTGTGGAAGACCAATAGAATGGGATCTTCGTTACCTGGATTGCTTCATGCTCTAGAATCTGCTCTTTGGAGTGAAGTGGGATATTAATAAATAAGTAAAGTTGGGATATTTGCTAAACGGGAGCTTCGAGTTATATTTTCATTAATACAGTAGTCTAACTTTTAATTTGAATTGTACTTGAAAATCTTTGCCAAGAATATAGTTTTTCTTCCTTTCATTAAATAATTCCTTGATTGATAATCTTTATTTTAATCACTGATTAACGGACCATGACCCAGTTCTATAGCAAATAAAAAGTCAAGCATTGGTGTTGAAATTATAATGATCCCAACAACGGGTCCGCCTGGTGCAGTGGTGTGGCACACCCAGCTGGGAGAGTAGGCACTGCTGAAATCCAGCCTGTGCTCTGATGGCCAAGCCAGGGGCCCCGGCATGGGTGTGTCCACCTGAGAAAGGGGCAGCTCTTTCTAGTTTGCAGAAAGGCGCCACATGGGCTGACTTGGCCCCAGCACGTGTTCCAGAAGGAGGTGGTGGTGACAGTGATGGTTTTCCCCCAAAGTGCTACCTGCTAGAGGCCAGCTTTGTTATCAACATGTCTTTGTTTGTTTTTGCTTTTTTATTTTCTAATTTGTATTTGAGTATAGTTGCTTTACAGTGTTGTGTATCAACATGTCTTTCCCCTTAAAGAAATCCAGGAGATAACTTCCAGTTGAGGGCTGTCTTTAAGAGCGTGTACCTGGAGAGGACCAGAGATTCCAGCAGCCCGTGTGGGCCTTTCCTCTCTAATTTGGCCTGATCGCCTTTGAAAGGCAGGCGAATTTAGGGGACAATTTTCTTTCTGTCCGGAGGGTGCCTGGTGTCTGTTCTGTATCTGGATCCCGTTATGAATGTCCCCAGACAAGATCGCTCTGTGTCTGTAACAGTAAAACAGAAATCAGAGACAGGCAACCCCTGTGGCTCCTCTGAGAGGAATTGCTGCTGTTGCTGAGTAATAAGGCTGCCTAAGGGGCAGTCGGGAACTTGCACTTGCGGGGGGACCAAGCGTAGTTGAAGATCCAGCTTTGAGACAAATAGACAGTATTTGATGGTCACAGCTTCCGATGAGCGATGTTCAGACATGGACCCACTTTATTTCTCAGCCCTGAGCCCCTGGCTGAGTCCGTGACAGCACAGGGCAGTGGCACCAGGCAGCCACACGGCAGGGAACCGGGGGACAGTCTGCCAGCAGGAGGGTTCTGGTTCCGCTCGGAAACCTTCACCGTTCGGAAATCTCCACTCCCCCCGTTTCTTCTGTGGCTCACAGGTTCCTTCCCCCAAGGAAGCTTCAACTGCATCTCTTTCCCCTTTTGTAGATGCGAACGACGCGCAAGGTCTCCGTGTGGCCAGTGGGCCTGGTTGGCGGGCGGCGCTATGAACGTCCGTTGGTGGAAAACGGGAAGGTCGTCGGCTGGTACACCGGCTGGAGAGCAGACAGGCCCTTTGCCATCGATATGGCAGGTGAGCGCGTAGATCGCGGGGTTTGTTCCCGCCGGGTTGTTCCCGCCCCGCCCACCCCACCCCCGTGTGTAACTGTACCGAAGGCAGGACGCTTTGAAAGACCGCTTTGCTTAAACCCTACATTGTGTTATGTTCAGCAGATGAATGTTGAAACCTTCAGAGCAGGCTGGTTGGGTGATTCAAGGGGTGATTGATTCGGGGAGTGATTAGGAAACACTCATGCCATTCCATTTGTCACCTGTCCACGCAGCCATCCCTTCATCCAGGTGCTGGGCTGGGCGGCGGGGAGCTGGGCAGTGAGAGACAGACCTGGCCCCGGCCTCACAGGGGTCTACAGCCTGTACCTGTCCATGCCTCGCTCTGCAAGTCCGACTGGTTGTAATATATCCCATGCGTACTGATAAATTTAACAGTGATACGGTATAGGCAAGCTAACCATTTTGATGCTTATTGATTGAGACATTAGTCCTTATTGATACATTTAAGAGTGAAAATAGAAAACTGGATTACTGGTTTTTCAAACAGGTACTAATGTTGAGTATAACTGTCTTTCAAAGTTTTTACTCTCTGACCAACCAACTAAATTGAATAAAACCTACTGTAGACCACAAATTCTAAAATGCTGCTTTATCATAAAGTGACTCATTCTCTGGGGGTTATATAACATGATGCCTGTGATAACTGTGGAACGATGCAGTTTGAAACATGAGGCTTTGGAGGCAAAAGAGAAAAAAAATCGCTAAAATCACTGATGTCTGTAACCTAGAATATGAAGGCAGAGAAGCTTCAAAATTGATCTCATCCATCTCAGCGCCGAAACAGAGCTCTGTCTGTCTGTCTGTCAGCCTGTGCTTGGCCGATCTTTTTGTGTGCTATTTCCCAGCTGTAGTCAGAATCACTGCTCAGAATTGTGATGGGATGGAGGCTGTGTTCTGACTGGCTTCATGAATTTTATTCTGAAAATACTATAAATTTGAGGGAGCGAGGTTATGAAGAGCGCTAGGAATAAAAGCTGCTGTGGAAAAGCGCTGGGGATGGCCGGCCTGCTGCCCTGCTTCATGGGAGAAGACAAACTAGGGTATTTTAACTCAACGTTTAACAGCGTTTCCTGAGGGCCAGCTTTGTGGGATTGTGTGTCATGGTCTCTGACCCAAGGGTGGTCCAGACCTCTGACCCTTCCCTGACCCCTCCCCCTCCCAGGCCCCCTCCCTGCGTCCCGACCCCTCTGTCCCTCTTCCAACCCAAGCCTTATTCCTCGGTCCCCAGTTCTTGCAGCCGCAGAGCTGAGCTGGCATCTCAACCAAAGAATCTTCCTGAAGGCAGACAGACAGGCAGGTCAGCTGTATCTGGGAGGTGACGAGGATTATCAAAAGGGGCGTCGCCTCAGTCAAGTCTGAAACGACAAGGCCAACCATAACATGTCTTGAAAATCAAGTTTTCTGCTGCTCAGAAGTGTTAAATTTGAGCAGAAATCTTGAGGAACATTAGGCAAAATCTCGTGCTTCTCTGGGACTTAGTTTCCTCATGTAGAATGAGGCAGTAGCGTGAATGACCACTGAGGTCTTTGCTAACGAGTTCTCCCTTTCCCTGGCTTCCTATCTTGGGAAGCTCAAAGAAGAGTCCAGGTCCCTGGATTCTAAGTGAGGGTGTGGCTGCTGACGCAGCCGGCTGGCAGATGTTTGGTCCTTCTGGTCCCCAAGAGTTCAAGTCTCCCACATGGGCTCTCTGCCCATCACCCTTCAAGCTAACTTCAAGGTGAGGGTGACATAGATACGTCTTCCTGGATTTTGCTGTAAGAACTTTATGTAGATGATCAAGTATCCAGTAAACCCATCGAGTATTTTGCATTGTTCCCCCCAGAATTTGGATCCAAATAGATATATCTAAAATTCAAGAAGGGCACATGGGTTTTGTGAATTAGGCCTGACTGGTGACAAGATACTTCACACTCTGTCACTGCCAGAATCTCTGGGAAACTTCTCCATGACGTGACTGGTGTTTGGATTTTTAAAAGCACTTTAAGGGATTTTCAAAGCATAATATAAGACCTATTGTAAAATATGAATGATTTGCTTGTTTTTATTAATTATCCTTATTTTAAAATCGGAATAAAATTTCTGTCTCAAAGAAAACAACTTTTGAAACACTAAATTAGTTTCTTCACATGTGAATTTGCTTTGCAAATTAGTTTTCAGTGAATTATTGATATTTTTGGAAACCTTTAAGTGAGAGGGATTTGGTTGATGAGATAAAGCTCTGACTTTGAGCCGTTTGTTCTCATTCTAAAACTTGCAATTTTATAGCTTTGTTTAGATCCCATATGATTCATTTACTCTTAGTGGGAAGAGAGAACAGGGCTTTTGGATGTTCATGTACAAATGGTACTTCCCACCTCATTTTCAAGAGACACACACAGACACACATACACTCACAATCTCTAGAGAGTAGAAAGCTGGAAGCCCGCTTCCCTGCTGTACCCAGGAAAGCCTGAGGATCACTGCTTTAAAAGTCGTTCTGATGGATGAGTGAGGGGACTGCGTTGGAGCCTGCGTCTCGCTTGGACTGCCACAAACTGATTAAAAAACATGAAACTGACAGCCTTATGGGGACCTAGCTCTGCCCTCCAGTGGGCAAGCACCAGCCTGGAGGCCCACACGGAACGTGCAGCCAACCATGTGAGAATGCTACCCCGCCCTCCAGCAGGCCTGCACCCCTGCGAGAGGAACGGCCTCACAGCCAGCCAGGCCAGGGCCCAGGCCCGCTACCATCGCACCCACAGTCGCCATCCCGGCCACAGCAGAAGGATGCATGCAGCCCACAGAGGGGGCACCCCTAAAGCATGTAGCTCTGGAGATGAGAGGGGAAGGGGCTGCTGGGCTTCATAGGACATCTTCTGCACGAGGCCACGTCCCCAAGATTGGGAAATGTAACTGACCCACCTCACACATAGAGCAAACAAAATTGGGCCAAATGAGGAGACAGAGGAATATGTTCCAAATGAAGGAATATGTTCCAAATGAAGGAACAAGATTTGGAATATGTTCCAAATCTCAGAAAAAGAACTAAACAAAGTGGAGATAAGCAATTTACCTGATAAAAAGTTCAAGGTGATAATTATAAACATGCTCACCAAACTTAGGAGAAGAATGAATGAACATGGTGAGAATTTCAACAATGAGCTAGAAAATATAAGTAAGAATGAAACAATTTAAGAATACATAACTGAGATAAAAAATACACTAGGAGGAATCCAACAGTAGATTAGATGATATAGAGGAACAGGTCAGTGATCTGGAAGACAGAGTAGTGGAAATCAACCGAGCTGAATAGAGAAAAGGAAAAAGAATTTTAAAAATTAGGATAGGGCTTCCCTGGTGGTGCAGTGGTTGAGAGTCCACCTGCCAATGCGGGGTACACGGGTTTGTGCCCCGGTCCGGGAAGATCCCACATGCCGCAGAGCGGCTGTGCCCGTGAGCCATGGCCACTGAGCCTGCACGTCCGGAGCCTGTGCTCCGCAATGGGAGAGGCCACAACAGTGAGAGGCCCGTGTACCACAAAAAAAAAAACCCACAAAAAACAAACAAACAAACAAAATTAGGATAGTTTAAGAGATCTCTGGAACAACATCAAGTGTACTAACATTTTCATTATAGGGGTCCCAGAAGGAGAAGAGAGAGAGAAAGGGGCAGATAACTTATTTGGACAAAAAGATAGCTGAAAACTTTCCTAACCTGGGGAAGGAAACAGATATCCAAGTCCAGGAATCACAGAGAGTCCCAAAAGAGGTGAACCCAATGAGGTCCACACCAAGACACCTTATAATTAAAATGGCAATTATTAAAGAGAGAATCTTAAAAGCAGCAAAAGCAACTAGTTACATGCAAGGGAATAAGACAATCAGCTGTCTTTTTAGAAGAAACTTTGATGGCCAGTAGGGAGTAGCAGTACATATGCAAAGTGATGAAAGGAAAAAACCTCCAGCCAGGAATACTCTACCTGGCAAGGTTATCATTCAGATTTGAAAAGATGGAGTTTTAAAGGTAGACAAAAGCTAAAGGAGTTCAGCACTACTAACTAGATTTACAAGATATGTTAAAGGGACTTCTTTAAACAGAAAAGAAAAGACCACAGCTAGAAATATGAAAATTACGGAAGGAAAAATCTCCCTGGTAAAAGCAAACATGGTAAATGTAGTAGGTCAGCCACTTACAAAGCTAGTAGGAAGGTCAAAAGACAAAAGTATAGAATCATCTGTATCTGCCAAAGTAGTTAAGAAATACACAAACAAAAAGATGTGAAACAATTACACTAAATGTAAATGGACTACATGCTCCAATCAAAGGACAGAGAGGAGCCAAATGGGTAAAAAACAAGACCCATATATATGCTACCTACAAGAAATTCACTTCAGATCTAGAGACACATGAAGACTGAATGTGAGGGGACGGAAAAGGTATTTCATGTAAATGGAAATGAAAAGCAGGGATAGCAATGCTTACATCAGATGGAAGACTTTAAAACAAAGAAGTAACAAGAGACAAAGAAGAATATTATAGATATAGATAAAGGGATCAATCCAACAAGAATTGATGAATCCAACAACAATTGTAAATATGTATGCACCCATTATAAGTACCTAAATACATGAAGCAGATATTAACAAACATGAAGGGAGAAAAATGATAGTAATGTTAGTAGAAACTTTAATGCCCTATTTACATCAGTGGGCAGATCATCTAGACAGAAAATCAATAATGAAAAATGGCTTTAAATGACACATTAAAGCAGATAGAATTAATAGATATATAGAGAACATTTCATTCAAGAACAGCAAAATACACATTTTTTTCAAGTGCACATGGAACATTCTCCAGGATAGATAACATGACAGCTGCAAAACAAGTCTCAATAAATGTAATAAAATTGAAATCATATCAAGCATCTTTTCTGACCACACACTATGAGACTAGAAATCAAGTACAGGAAAAAAATGCAAGAAA